AAAAAAAGCTGACTCAATTTTTACAGTTTATCTAAGAGATAAGAGGGAAAATTCTCTTTAAATAACTTTAGGCCAGTTTTTATTTTTATTATAATTAATTATGTTGTAAAATGTGAAAAAGAGTCCAGAAACATATTGAACACACGATGTCTAAGTTGCATAAAAGTTAATTAAATAATTTTATTTTATGCTACACAAAATCTTTCCATAGAAGCAACACACAGCGACATTAATTGAAATTTTATGGCACATTGTCGCACGCCTACAACAGGCAACACTAGGCAACAAGTATCAAGCAACATGTCGTTCAGTGTTGCCTCAGTGGAATTCCGGCTTTAGAACGTTAAATTTCTCAGACCGCTTACTTAAAGGGAGCTTCTGTCATCCCTTTATTAAAAAAAGAGCCGATCCTGGGAATTATAGACCCATATCGTTACTTCCCATATTCTCGAAAATATTAGAAAAAATACTTGCAAATCAACTTTTGGCTTATTTTGAACATAATGAACTTCTTACAGACGATCTTTGGTTTCAGACCTGGAAGAAGCACAACTGATGTTATTTTTGAAATTTGTGGACAGAATCGAAAATACTTTCAATCAAGATAATTATCTACAGCAAAGTTTTTAGATCTCGTGAAAGTATTCGATTGGGTGTCACATAGTATCCTATTAAAAAAAAAATCTATAACTTACCTCCAAAATGTTGCAAGCTACTTATATTATTTATATTAAACAGGTTACAACGAGCTAAGCTAAAAAATTGCGTCTCTGATTATTATCTTCTCATCGATTTAGGCGTACCTCAAGGTTCTATATTGGGGTCGCTGTTGTTTCTCATTTTTATAAATGACGTCTTATTTGGTAATAGTACATTGATAATACCACATACAGCAAATAAATGCCGATGACACAACCTTGTATAAAAGCTTGCATATCGTAGCCGTATATAAAATCGAAAATTGCGAATAAAAATAAAATAAAACCGGTTCAAAAGTAGCCGATGACGCTGGCAAGTTCTGACGTCAGAACTTGATACAGTATTTTTGGGGATTGGTTCAGACAGCAAGCTGTTATGGTGCTCACATGGGGATAAGCTAGCTGCCAAATTAAATAAATCTATTTATGTCTTACGTCAACTAGCAAGACGTGTAACTTTGGAAATTATTGTTACGATGATTGGTAATCAAATCGGCGGGGGTAAAACTCAACAATTTATTTCTCAGTAATACAAAATTACACGACCAACTATACATACGAAAATAAATACGACTCGACTTGTACTCATTAATCGACTCGGATGGGATTAGACTAGGCTGCTCGCTCACGACGGTGATCCCCATTTTCCACGTGCTCCTTCTGGAATGTTCTGGAGTTGTTGGTTCCATGTAGTTCTGGACCGCGCCTCGACACATCCGGCGAAGGGCAAACCGTTTCTAAGCTTTTCTTTATTGGAACTTCGCCATCGATGATAGTTTTCCCAGTTCTAATTCGGTTTTATGATGTGCAAAAGTTAATTTCCTTAACGATAGATTACTACTGCCGGTGATGGAACAGTCATAAATGAGGATTTAACCATGGCGTTACCATTATACTGTATAATGGTTAAATCCTTATTTATGACTGTCCCATCACCGGTAGTAGTAATCTATTGTTAAGAAAGTTAACTTTTACACAATGGGATACTATCAAAAAACCGAATTAGAACTAGGAGATTATAAAAGGTTATATGGCTGTCGTAAAATGACGGTATTGTGAAAAAGACAATGGAGCAGTTAATAAGGCAAAACCACAGTTGCAAATTGTGTTTGTGTTGATTTAATGTACCAAAAATGTTTAAGCGGATTACCCAGCAGTAGATATTGAGGTGGCAAGATATTGAGACAAATCCTTGATTTATGACGCTAGGATTGAGCCGGTAACCAGCCGCACAAAGGGAATTATAAGATCCCATTCTTAAGTTTAGTGGGGCCCTATAACCCTGTAGTTTCTGACTGACTATACATACGTCGCGACGTATCGGGGCGACGTATGGGTTTACTTCCTAACACTATTCTGACCACTTATTATGCCGTTTTTCCGTGTGCGACAACTTATGGTGTAATTGTATGGAGGCATTCTTCTATTCGACATCGAATATTTAAATTACAAAGGCGTGCGATACGAATCTTAAATATAATGACGATTGCAGAGACGCATTCTGTTACCTGGGAATATTGACTTTCTACAGCTTATTTGTTTACTACTACTTAGTATACGTTAAAAATAATATGGACAAATTTAGATACCATAGCGATTATCATCAGCATTATACCAGAAACAAACATAATCTTTGCACAAATAAGGTTTAGTTGACTAGAGTCCAGAGTAGTACGCGCTGTTTTGGTATAAAATACTATAATAACTATAGTGCTTGATAGCTTTAGGAACTTGATAAAAATAATTTTTTCTAAGCGTTTGAAAACATTTTTAAGTGAAAATTGTTTTTGAAATCTAGTGGATTATTTTAATTACAATTTTCTACAACTTGTGTAAATTTTTCTATTTCACCTGTTTGTATTTGTATTTTGTACAACTTCTGTAAATTTTTCTTTCTGACTTGTCTGTATTAACATTTGTACTGCTTGTATTGAGTGGTATTGACGTATGCTAAATTTTGTACAATATTATCACGAATGGGGTGTTTGGGGGTTGGTAGAGCGTGGTTCAAAGTCCAATTCGTGCTATAAAATTTGAATACCCAAGATCCGAATTCGCAGACAGATGCATGTATCTATCTACTTACATTCTTCCTGTGGGAAACATGTTACAACTCACTTTTTTATCTCGGCCTCTTTACAACCCGACTGCTGCCCATCCGCTCTCGCTAACCCCATGAAGCCCCTGCAGGTCAGCAAACGACCCCCTTACTGTCTGATCATCTCTTCTTAGGAAAAAGTATCTGAACGTAAGAACTTCTGGTCTGTGTGGATAGTGAATAATTTTCCTTAAAAAAAAGTGTTGAAAACTGAGTATAGGTTTGTAATAGCCATCAATTCGCTACCAATCATTAGCTAAATATTTTCTTCCAGCCAAACTCAGCCTTTGTAAAAAAAAGTAACAGATATCTACGAACTGTTAATCTGTTGGAATCACCTTTGCAAATATTGGGTTCAACTGCGTTACTGGCAAGTGTTATCAAGGCAGCTTTTTTATTTATGAGTTTTTGGTACTGAAAAATGTTTTATTGCTTTGATGATGATACCATGCTGGCTTAATGTTTGGAAAACCACCTCTATTGGGCGTAGATGTTCTGCGTTATTAGCAAATGCCACAAGATCTATTCCATGCAGCAATACCTTACAAAATTGAGTTCTTACAGCGTTTGGTTAAGAACCTTTGAAAAGTTGGGGTGGCATATCTCAGCCCAAATGGTATTCTAATAAATTTAAAGAAGTTAATAGTGTCATTACTTCTGTTTTTGAATGATCTCGTGTGGTACGTCTTCACTAAACCGAGATGTGCATATGTTTTTTACCATACAGGTTTTGACTGAAATCCTGTATGGTTGATATGGGGTATCTGTCGGAAATCGCAAATGTATTTAGAACGTTGTAATCCCCAAAGCTCCCGCAGTGTATTTTCTTGTGTAACGATATTACTGGGCTAGGCTATCGTAAGAAGTTTGGAGTTTAATGGTGGCATTAAATGGGTAGGATGCTGATTACTTTTGGTATCGACTAAAGAGTGAACCGTTGTTTCCTTGTTTCGTACCTCACATCTACCACCTAGCAGCACCACTTTCTGTGAAATAAATATGAAGGATGGCGGTACAACGCCCTGGCGCTCGAACGCCTATAAAACTACTTAAGTTCCTCGCTGACCAGGGTTGTTGTGGTTACAGTTTTTGCTCTGAACGTACTGCGTAGGTAGCTATTCTTTTCAAAGTTGGGTGTATTTTGTTGATTAAGATTTGGAGCAATTTTTTTTTACTAGTGTCCGCTACTACTTACCATCTCTTTGTTTTTGTTTGTTTCCTTCCATCTAACTCCTTAAGCTTTTGATACACTGGATAATTTAGGCTCCCTATACTGTTCATAACTTCTTGGTTGTTCCTTCTTTCGCACATTCTTTGTACGTTTTTTCTTTCGAATATTCTTCTTTGCATTTTTCTTTCCTATATACCCAGTTCCTCTTCCATCTTTCTTGTAACAGTCAAAGTCTCCCATGCGAACGTGACATTCGGTCGTGTTATCTTTTTGTAAACCCTCAATTTTGCTTTTTTAGAAACTGTTTTAGATGTTAGCATCTTCATTACTAGTCACTCCCACATGCACATCCCCTTTTTTTAACCTGTAGTTTATTTCGTCTTCATTTTCTCCATTCTTACGTATTGCCTCTCTTAATTAATGTGAACAGCGTGGGTAAAACACAATTTATTTCTCAGTAATACTAATTTACACGACTAATTATGCAGCGATTATGTACAGAATAATTCCTACTCGACTGGAATGGATTTGAATATATATTATATTATATTCTCTTATTGACTGGACTCCACTGGCCGTTTCCGGCGGTGGTCTCTATTTAAACAGCCACCGTTAGAGATATTTGGCGATAGAGGTTCTTCTGGAGTGTCCATACCGACTTCCGCTTCCAGGCTTTTCTTTAGCCGAGCGCCGCCGTTAGTAATGATGAGTCACCACCGTTCATACTAGAAAACCCATACTGAGTTGGCGTTGTGTTTATTTCGTAACAGTATAATAATTGATTTATTAATACTATGCTCTAAAAATTTGTTTTTTACTACAAACTTAAGTTATGAGCGGACATTTCGTAGTCGTTCTGAAAAAATTAATAAACAAGACAGGCATAAATAATGGAAAAAGTACATTTATAATAATAATTATTATTAAGAAATAAATAAAACAATAAATAAATAAATTTTAAACACTATTTAAAAAACAGTATGTACTTGTGTATAGAAATTACACCATTGTACTAATTATCACAGTGTAACATTTGTATATTAACAGGTAAATTATATCCAATATCTAGGTGCTGCAGAAAAGAACAAAAATATGCAAATTGTTCAAAATTTTCTGCACGTAAATACTTTTAATACCATTTTCCTAACAGACAATAGTTTTTGGCCTTGCACTACGAAATATTAGTTACTATCGACATCAATATTTTCTGGAACAGAACACAGACTGTCGTCTTTAAGCACACATTTTTTATAATGAGTTCTCATATTACTGCTTTGTGAAAATGCTAGTCCACACTTTTCACAAGTGTATGGTTTTAGTCCAGTGTGGAAATTCATATGTGTCTTCAAGTGATGTTTTTTTGTGAAGCTTTTCGTACACAATGCACAGGAGTATGGTTTGATACCTAAAAATAAAACAACAGGTAAAAGAACATTGACTACCAACTTTAAATTTAAAAATAAAATACTTCTTACTACTTATCATACTGATTAACGATTAAAATATAATAATATAAATAAGGAGAGTAAAAAATTTATAATCTTTTTTTTGCAAAAAGCATTAATACTCCAGAAACTATTTCGTAGCAGTTGTGAAAAGTGTGATAGTAGATAAATATAAGAGTGAAATGAAAAATATGACATTACCCCTGGAAAAAGAAATAAAAGGTACAGTAAGATAAATTCGTCGTATCCTGGGAAAAGTATGGTCATTATTTTCGAATTCATTTTAAGTTTTATTTTATATTAACTATTTTAGTAAATATGATGTAAAAATTAATCCACGAATACCATTTTTGATATTCGTATACGATATTTTGGTTATTAATCTTATCATATAATAGAAGAGCATGTACTCGTATCTACAGATTTCTCAGAGGGTGAATTTTCAGTGACTGATTAAGCAATTACTGATTACAGTGGTTACCAGTCCCAAAAGTGTTACTCAAAAAGATATCATTATTTGACTCACTACGTTACTACTCCTCGAATTTTATCATGTGTCATAACATATCTAGATTTTAAAACACATTTTAGTTTCACAAATAGCCAAAAGTTCGATTAAGATAGATCTGGAAGGAGAAGAAAGCGAAGCTCAAGTACGTGAGTAACTTTATCATGAATTTTGTTCTAGTGGTGTTGCACATTTTATTGTAATTATATTATTTGAAATTTATGTCATGAAACCAGAGAACATATAGCTATTTCAAAATGTTAGTAATATTATTAGTAGTAACAGTAATTTTGTTTACGCTAACATAACAGTGCAGTGTGCAGCGCACATGCCCACAGAAGTACGTAAGTCACTGCTTACACTGAAAACAATATGTAGAATTTTTAAAATTAATGTCAAAATTAATGTGTATTTTGAAAACAAGAATAAATAATGGCTAATTCCATTTGTATTATCCTTTATACCGTCTACGCCTTTGGCAAAGTGGCTTTTGTTTACAATAATTTGTTAACAATTTCCTTCCTTATTTAAAATCACTATAGTAAAATTGAAAATAACAGCAAGTGTGGAATAAAAGCAAATAATTGCGTGCGCTATTTTTTTTTTTTTTTAGGTAATTTACGATCTTTTTTTCGTACACTTGCCTACGATTACTTAAATATCAGAAAAAGTAGTTTTACGTTGCCCAGATGAAAATTACAGTAGTAAAGTTTTTGCAATAATATACAATAATATACTTATCACATGATACAATGTTATAAGTGTAAATTATTGTAGGCACCTATTTTCTCGCATTAATGTCCATTCGTTTATCACCAGTCTGTACAAGGAAAATACTCATAACAATTTATAATCGTTTACACACCTGTATGAAGTCTTGCATGTAAGCTCATATTCGAGCGGTCTGCAAAGGTTTTTCCGCATTCTGGACACGAATAAGGTCTTTCTCCAGTGTGAACACGTTGATGTTGCTTTAAGAGCATTTTTCTGGAAAAACTTTTACCACATGTAGGGCACTCATGAGGTTTTATTCCTAAAAAAAAAACAGATAAATTATCAGCAAAATAATAACACGTTCGCGTGTTCATACTTATTCAAATGCGATCATTATTACTATTGATTAATGGCATAATAACTTTTTGGAAATCATAAATACTATGTATATAAACTTCTACAAAAATTTGTAATAATGCCGTGCTAAAATTTATGTAATCTTAACGTTTCAAGAATACTGTTCAGATTTTTTATTCAAAAGAATGACATTAATTAAAAAAATCATGTTGATTGAGTTAATTAAAATCTAACGAAATGGGCACATGAGAAGAAAAATAATTGTGTAATTTTACTTCCTTTCTGGATTTTTACTGACTTTCATTATGAAAATGCACAGTAAATTTCTTGATACAATACTTACTTAATTCTTCATGTAAGATTTGATTATCCTTGAAAACGTAAGCACAAGATATGAATAACAAAAATATTTTCACCGGTACATTCTTTAATATATCTATTAATTATTTGTTTTTATTTACCTGTGTGGATTCGAAGGTGCATGTTGTATGCCACCCTTTGGTTAAACCTTTTAGGACAATGTGGGCAAGCGTATTCTTTTCTGTCCCGATGGATTTTCATGTGACTACTTAAATAACCTCTATCATTAAAATTTTTGCCACACTCTGGACATTTGGCAGCAAACTCCTTAGTTCCTTCATGTACTGACCTAAAAAAAATGTATTTAAAATATCGGAGGTATAGAACGAAAAAAAAAATAGTGACGAAAATTCGAAACAGAGTTAAAATTATTTCATCAATTTTTGTGCGATAAGGTTTATTTACAAAGTAAAACACGAATAACAAGGAGTCTCAGGAATATTTGCTTGTGGTCTGTAGGGAAGGCCAAATCGATTGTGTTAAAATTAAATATGCAATGGTACAGAATATAAAAATACGAGTACTTAAAGGACTTCATTTACTAACAACTTGTTTTAAGTTTAGACTTTGAATTCTAAAATAAGTAAGTTTGTACAACAATTTTATGTCTCTCTTAAAAATCGTACAACAAAATGTTGCAATTTATTTCCAAAATTACCAACTGTGCTGAAATTTTGGACATGCTTTAAGGTTATCTTATATGCATGTCTATATTTATTCCTTGCAAAAATTTGATGACGTTATCAGGGGAACCGTTACTTAGACAACTAAATAATTCTTTAACTTTTAAAGTAAGGGCAGATTAGTAGAGCACAAGTATAAAACAGAATTTATGTTGCTAAATTTTGGGATTATTAGAAGACATTTCGTTAGAGTTCTACTATGTTTCTACACGATACTCCTAAAATCCACTCCAAATTTAACAATTAGTCCAGTGTTCTCAGAGATTATTATTGGTCGTGAAATTAGCGAGTTGAAATACTTCAACCCTAGTTCATGCTCGGGAAGTTAAATCATTGTTATAAACTTGCCCCGCACATCTTAATAAAATGGAAAATACCAAGACCACAGTTAAATTAAACGCTTTATTAATGTCTAATCTATACTTATATAATAAAGCTGAAGCTTTTGTTTATTTGAACACGTTTATCTCAGAAACTACTGGTTCAAATTCAAAAAATCTTTTTGTGTTGGATAGTCAATGTATCATATCTACATATAGGCTATATAACATCACGCTACGATCATTAGGAGCGAAGTAGCAATGAAAAATTCGGAAAAACGGGAAAATTATTCCTCCTTTGAGAGCTTCCGTTGCGTACGCTGCTTAAACGGTTAAAGTTACGTAAAAATCATGTATGACGAAATTGTTCCCCTCTAAAAGTTCTAAAGAAAAGTCCGCGACAGCATATATCTATCTTTTAAGGTCGACTCAGTATAACCTTTTTTATGGTAATGAAATTTGTTCTAAAATAATAATGCATTATGTGTAATATTCTCGCGTCACAGTGTTTGTAACCGAACTTCTCCGAAATGGGTTGACCGATTTGTATGAAATTTTTTACGTATATTCGGTAGGTCTGAGAATAGGTTGTAAACTGTTTTTTAAACCCCTAGGTGATAAGGGTGGCCCACCCTAAAAAATTTTTGTCTATTTTTTGGACAAAATTTTTTATTTTTATTTTTTTAAGAATTGGCATCAAAAAATACACATAACCCTAAATTTTCACCTTTCTACCACCAACCCCCATTTTTTAATCGTCTATATAATAAAAATCAATTGCTGTTCCTGTTAGTCTCGCTAAGACTCAAAAACGGCTTGACGGATTTGAAGAATTTTTTTATATTACAGGGATGGTTTATAAATAAAAAAAATAAGGAAAACTTAAAAGAACAGTTAAAAAATAAAAAAAATCTAAAAATTTTGTATGGGAATCGCCACTTCGAATTAATTTAATAGTTGGCGTTTCTGACGGACCTGTCGTCTAACTGACGTGTCATACAAAACTAATTCTTCCGTGCAATTGTGAAAAGTATATTGCATTTCAAATCGTTCTTTGTTTTTCCTAAAAAAAACGTCGTTTACTTTAAGAAAAGTCTTGGTTAAAGTGAATTTAATTACACATTGCGAAAGTTTCTTATTAATTTTGATCTGCCATTCTATTTACCTATAATATTCATTTTGTTGGTTTCGACAAAACCTCAAACTTTACCGTTATTCGAGGATTTAATTTGAAGTTTTCAATATTTTAAAATTCTCAAGACAAAATTTACAGATTTGATTGACTGTGAAAATAATTCTGTGTCGTTTTATGAAGTTCATTAAAAAGCCGAGAAGACGACAGCCTCACATAGGTCCACGAAGTCAATCAAATGTGCAACAAACTACCTCAGGTGCAAACCGCAATGATTTATTTCATGGGTAATTCGGATATGGAAGTTGATCAGCGTTGTGCTCATAATCAACATGAATAAATGAATAAAACTGAGTAGAAACTAATATTCGAAGTACGAAGTACCTACTTCATTATTACTCTGATATACCTGAACATCTACTCTATGTACTGAGTACCTACTTGGAAACATTGTATCTCCCCGGAGACAAATTGAACATCTACGCGTTTTGTGAGCATTTAATCTAAAAATGAGGATCGGCGTGGCAAATAACTGAGCTGTCTGTAAAGCAGCTTAGAAAACGAGTAGGATCGTTGTAAGAGTGAATTTTAACTAAACATGGCGACTTTCATGAACGTGGAATATCAAAAACTTTTCAGGCAATTAACTTTTATTTATGCATAAATTGTGTAGTGCGTTTTTTTTAACACTAGCCATAGAGATTCCCATCTCAAGGTGTCTACCCCATACTAACTTATATTTTGGTGACTCGATTTTTGCCTTGATGGTTGAACACTGTCACTGTTGTCCTTTTTTGTTGTATCGAGATGCTATTTGAGCATCAACTGTTACCTACTGAAGTATTAATATCATCTAGAAAAACTAGAAATATTTTGATTTGATATTCGAGAAGATACTTCGTATTTCGAGTATGAGCATCTATTGAGTTTTATTTATATCAACCATTGTCAAAAAATTGATCGAACGTTGTTTTGACAGAACTTCCTTCGCACCAAAAGTATAATGAAACATATTCAGCATTTTCGAGTTGAGTATTTTCTTCACACAATTTTGTGATGACCTAATCAACATTTACGATCAACACGTATACCACCTTGGATTGGTGCAGTGTAATACTAAAAATAACTGTATTGTATTCCCAAAATTATCTGCGAAAATCGAGTGAGCCATTCCATCAATTTTTTGGGGGCAATAAATAAATATTCTTAACAATTTACCGTGCTTACAATAACTTTAAAACGTCTGCAAGATCTCAAAGTATTCATTTTTGCAACTCTTGAGTTATTCACTAAAATAAATTGACTGATCCATATATTTTTTTGAGTCACTGTAAAAGCAAATCTAAAAAATATGAATGCAATGATAAATTACGAAAATATACTGATGATATTTTCCACATTTTAGATAGGATCTATTCGGCAAAATCTTGAGATGACGTCTTCAAGTTTTTGGGCTTGATAAACAGATATATTTTGATTGAAAACCTACCATGTCAAACAGTAACTTCAAAACCTCTGCAATATTTCAAAATTCAGTTTTGCAATTCTTGATTCAATCAATAAAATAAATTGACTCAGTGATTAATTTTTTTGAGACACCCCCTATAAGCAAAACTAAAAAATATGAATGGAATGATAAATCACAAGTATAGTCTCATCCTATTTTGGACATTTTAGATAGGATTCATTTGGCAAAATTTTGGGCTGACGTCATAAATTTTTTGGAGGGGATAAGTAAATATATTTTGAATAAAAATTTATTATGCTTATCATATGTTTAAAATATCTGCAAGATTTCAAAGCATTCGATTTTGCAGATTCAAAATTAAATTGTAGGTGAAACGAAGTTCACGGGGTCAGCTAGTAATATAATATAAGGTCTTCTAAAACATGTCACTTTGGATTTGAAACTGTATTTTTGTTAATTTATTTTTGAGACCTAAATAACAATTTAGTTTTATCCAATGTTTGTTACGGAAGTTTAACTTTAAGCTTTTCCGTAGAGATGAATCTGTCCAATAAAGAGTTCCAGTTTTTTTTAACTAAGACTAATAATAATTAAGTACTTATATGAAACGTAATGTCTAAGATGTATAAACATATGACAGTACAACGTATAAATATCGATTAAAAATTAAACCTACACGGTATAGCTACTCATTTTTAATGTCATACAAATATTTTATTTTAACATCATATCGTACTTTATTGTCTTCATTCAAACTTTTTTGCAGATACACTATTACAACATCAAGAATTATTATACCGTAATTCATTGTCACTTACTCGTTAAAAACTAATAAAAATTTATGGTGCCACCAAACTTACACTTACCTGTGGTATTTGTAATTCCGGAGTTGACTAAATGTCTTTCCACACTCTTCACATTTGAAATTTTTATGTTGTTTGTTTTCATCATGTAAAATTTTCTCTTCATGCGTTACTTCTTTTTTTCTTAACCATGTTTTTTTTGTACGCTTTCTATCTTCAGCTTTTAGAGGCTGCTCATTTTTTAAACTTAAACTGTGTAAACTTTGAGGTAGGGTTCGTTTTTCACAAATTAATTTATTTAATGAGGTAGGTAAATTTGATTCTAATGTAAGTTCAGCAACTGAGTTTGTTTTAGATGACAAATTTTTTGGAGTAATGTTTTTTTGATGAGAATTATTATTGGGGTCGCTTTCCTCGTTGGCATTTTCGTTGTAAACACTCTGAAACAAAAATAATTCTATAGTGCATGTGTGTGTTATTGTCTTATTAAACTTATTAATTAAGAGATAAATTAGATCTAGCTGCTTCTTGTGGGATGAAGATTTTATTCGGCACATAATCTTTGGCTGCACCGACTTACTACGTTGATTTATTATTATTTCTAAATTATTTCAAATGTGGCAACACGCCAAGCAACATTTGTTCTTTCAATCTTTGCACAAAATAAAATAATGTTTTTGTCGTTTTAAACTATGGTGATCATGTAAGGTGGGTTAATAAAAGATATTTGAATCGTATGAGTGTCCTGGAAAAATTTGGGATTACTAAGGTTTGTAATTTATTTCAAACAAGTTTACCAAAATTTATTCATCTATTTATTCCAAAATCAGTTAATTAAAAAAATAAATAAATAAATTGTTATTGGAAAATACGCCGTGAGATCTTATGCTTAGATATTTTTAATTGCTAAAGTGGCGACGAGAATACAGGTGCTCTCGAAGAAGAGGCATTGCTTTTAATACGTTGCCTATGGTTTATTCTGCTTAAATCACGTTACTAAATTTGGAGATGCATTGATTCCATCTTTGTTATACCCTATGTAACACTTATTGAAATTTAAAGGGAGCACATAGCACATTAATACACCAATCGCATATCTTGTTTGGTGCAGATTGCTGCAACAATCACTGATATTATTATTAATACATCTAAATATTTTTACATCATCAGCATATAGCAACGTTGGAGACTCCAAGCCTTTAACGATGTCATTAATAAAAATATTAAACAATAGTGGTCCAAGAACGGAACCTTGAGGCACACCAGAAGTGCCTGAAAATTGAAACGACCGGAAACTGTTATATTGCACAAAGTTAACTCTATTTACTAGCTAGTTTTCAACAATGGAACACAAATTGTCTGAAAAACCAAACACACTAAGTTTCTGCAGCAGTAGACTGTGATCTAGCTGGTCAAAAGCTTTAGAAAAATCTAGATATATGACCTCAGTTTGATAATATTTGTCAATATTACCGGAAATATATTGTGTGATATTCATTAAATTTGTCACAGTTGAAGGGCCTTGAACAAAACCATGTTGATTAGCTACTAAGTATTTGATTTTTAACTTGATAATATAGGATAGGACAGGAAATATCACCATTTCAAATACTTTGGCAAAATTGTTTAAAATGGAAATAGGACGACAATTTTCCGTTTGAGGGATCGTCTTTCTTAAACAATGAGATAATTTTGGACATCTTGCAGCAGTCAGAAAATGTTTTATTATCAATGACCAAATTAATAAGAAAAGCTAAATGTTCAGAAAATACACCCGCGCAGTCTTTGATTAAAAATGCGGGAACTGAATTGGGACCAGCTGTATATTTAGGTTTAAACGTTTGTAGTTTTTTAAATACTTCATCAATAAGAATGTGTCCCACACGATAATTATTCTCAGATATTTGATGACAAAAAATAGTTTGCAAAAGAATTTATAATATTCTCCCCGCCAGAAATGTGTTCCTTCCTAGATGTGATGTTAGCACGTATAGCTGTGCTGTTTTTTTCAATTTAATAAAATTCCAGAACTGTTTTGGATCATATGCAATATTTGACTCGGCTGTGGTCACAAATTGTTTATACTAAAATTCTATTTCACGTTCAAGAATACTCCTTAATCTTATGAATTCTTCTTGATCATTGGGTAAATATGATTTTTTAGCTTTTTTCCAAGCTAAAAATTTCTTTTTGATCAATTTGATATTTGGGAACAAAATGCGATTATAAAATGCTTCACATGCAATATTAATGTCATTATATTGCAACAAAAAATCCCAGTTGGTGTGTAAAAACTCATTACATAAACTTGGAAAGTTGGTTTTACGAAAGTTAAAATGAGAGGTCAACATTTTTGGAGAGGTAAATGCAAAACATCCATTGCTCTAGAAATATCAATTTCTTTATTGGCAATAACAAGATGGAGGGTTCGGTTTAAATAATTGTACACATTATTGCATTGAAAGAAGAAGAGATAATCTAAAAAATCTAAAAATGATTTAACGGCAGAAAATTAAATTCACAGAATGTCTCAAATAAAGTACCATATTATTCAGTGCTCAAAGAAGGAGGTATGTAAATCAGAATTAAATTTAGAATTAACATGGTGAAGATTTAAGCGAACAGCCCGTATGGATAAATTGATGACGACTAACACGCTTCCTTCCCTTTAAGATGTCAAATTTTCTATCAGAGCAAAATATTTTATAATTCGGAGCCATGTTTCGTTAAGAAGAACTACATCATAAAACTTGTCCAAGACATTTAGATAAAATGTAGATCGGTTCCCTCTAATGCTAAGAACATTTTGGTAATAAAAATTTGAATCATCGGAATGAGAATTTAAATCAATGGATAAAGCATCAATTGAAGTGCTTGTATTTAATTGCCATGAAACTGTTTTACCAGCAGGATCAGTGTACTGATTTTGAGTATTGAACAATTTTACCAGATGTTAAACTTATTAGAATGCCAAAAAGATCGCTTTTGACTTTAACCACAGCATATTTGTACGCAAATCACTTATGTACATTCCACGCAGCGTGATTGATTTAATATCCCACTTTTGATTTTTACGAAGTCCTACACAATTACGATATTTACGAAGTCCTACACAATTACGATATTTACGATCACTTTCGTTAGCTTTGCACTGTTTCACAGAGTGTTTATCGCTACACAAGGGACAGCTAATGTCATTTTTGCAACTATTTTTACCGTGATGGAAACCATTACATTTGTAGCAGCGTAAAACCGTCATTGAGTCATGATATTTTACCGTTTGAAGAAATTAAACAGTATATTTTTTGCAACAATGCTTCCATTCTTTAATTTACCCGAAAATTAGACAAAAAATAATAAAAAGAGAATTTAGATGGAACCGTTTGTTTACACATTTACCTCAATAATTTAGAGGATATGTTGAAAACTAAAGATCTATATTTTTTAGGGTAGCGACTTAAATGTCAAAATTTCGCCCGTCTGTGTCACAGGTTACTATTTTTGAAAGTTGTCATCTTAATTAGCTCACACGTTCAATATAGAATTGTCTTCGAGACTAACACGAATAATTTAACTAAACCAGTGAGAATTAGGCCATAATAAAATATTCAAATAGTTTGGTTAACAACAATTAAATGGTGCTAACTAGATCGATATTCTAGTATGTAGGTAGTAACATACATTTTGAAAAAGTACATATTATTGTTTTGTCAAAAAAGGAATACTTTAATGTAGACAACTTCTATTAAAGCGCAGACAAGATATTTAAATAAAAATATCTATACGAGAAAATCATAGCTAAAGTAGTAGGCCAATTGGCACAAGAATTTTCGTTGTTTTCTCCCACGTTTGATAGTGCTATTCCTTTAAAGGACATTTTAAGTTTTAGAAATTTTAGCATCCGCGTATTTTGACAGCGAACATAAATTTTGTGTGCCTGTTTCCTCCTACACTATCACGCAAAGTCATGACCTATAGCGAGAAAGTAAGAAGAAAATTTATGGCATTAGTTAACAGGTATAAAAAAGACATCCACTATAATAAGCAATATAATAAGATGTTATGTGCTCGGTTAGTGCAAAGTTTATCACGTATGTTATACTTTGTAACATTGTCGAGCTAAAAAAATAATGTATAAAACAAAAGAGACACATAAATTTTTGAGAATAACTAATACGTAATAATATTAATATTTTTAATTAAGACTGATTTAATTGTTTTCACACTTATTGGAGTAATTGAGTGATATAATTTTAAAAGTACAATTTTTATTCAAGTTTTATTTAACTAATTTTGTGGTTATGACATATACAGGGTGTTAATAAATGATTTACAGCTAGAGGGTTATGACAAAAAAATGTCGCTTTCTAAAAATACAGTTTTTTGGCGGCAGAAGATAAATATTGCTATTGTCCATCAATCTGTTGCCAACGTGAGAATAGGCTTAAATAATAACTTTATCTTTTTCTGTAGTCCACAATTTTCCGTATCCGTAATTTAAAGAATAAACGTTAAATGCTGGATTGGATGTTTTGGAACTAACACGCCATGGAGGATGGAAATTCTTGGCTGTTGTCGAAGGATTCGATTCAAAATAAAACAGAATTCTGCAAAAAAATGCGTATAGTGTCGCAATGTATTAACTAGTTATAATGCAATAACAACAAAAAAATTAAGACTTCACGAGAATCAAACGACGGCAAGATTTCTTTACTCAACAGTTGGATTAATAATCCCTTAGTAAGGTAGGTATTTTAGTTACAATTAACGTATCAGACTTTTATTCTGTGCGTTGAATTTGACAACAAAGATTTTTAACATCAAGACAATTTTGTTAGTTCTCTATCCCGATAAATATATAATAAGTATTTAAAAAAAACGTGTTCGTTTGTAGAATACTGCGACATTTACTTGGTGCTGGGTAGACGTAATCGCTACTTCCGAAAGGCGGTAAGTGAATATCTTGACACTTATGTAAATTGTTGTGCATCTGAACAAAAATGTCTTTCAGAGATTAGACTAGAGGTTAAAGGAAACGGGATACCTTGAACAAAAAAATGCGTTTGAAGATCGAGGTAGGCCGAGAAGCACAAGAACGGCGGAAATTTAGGAATTTATTGACTTCATGGAAGAATCTCCTCAGGTAAGCATTAGTTATAGGCACTGCCCAAATAGTTGGAATTCATCTAACTACCACATACGAAATAATTAAAGAAAAGTAGATACCTACCAATGGTTGCTGGGCAGAATTGAGCAGGAACAGTACTTTACGAAAATGTACTGTGGACGGACGAGTAAACCCGGAACAGCATTTTCAATTCCAGAAATTGGGCGACTGAAAATCCCCTTGCGATCCGAAGATAATAACAATTTTCAGTTAATGGATAGTGTGGCATAATAGATCAATATTTAATTGAATCTACTGAGCTACCAAACCGGC